AGAAAAGAAAAAATAAGAAGCGCAAACAAAAGTTCTTCAAACGAAATGGTGGACTCTTGCTACAACAACAAATATCAAGTGATGAAGTTATACTAGAAAAAACACGACTCTTCACTTCTAAAGAACTAGAGACAGCAACTGATCGCTTCAATGAAAGTCGAATACTTGGTAAAGGAGGTCAAGGCACTGTGTATAAAGGTATGTTATCTGATGGAAAAATCGTAGCAATAAAGAAATCAATCTTAATAGATGAAAACCAAGTGGGACAATTCATTAACGAGGTTGTCATGCTTTCAAAAATCATTCATAAGAATATTGTTAAGCTATTAGGATGCTGTCTAGAAACAGAAGTTCCTTTACTAGTTTATGAATTCATTTCCAATGGAACTCTTTTCGATCATATCCATGATGAGAGCAATGAATTCCCATTTTCATGGCATCAGCGTTTGAAAATTGCTGTGGAAGTCGCAGAAGCACTTGCATATCTTCATTTTGCAACTTCTATTCCCATATATCACAGAGACATTAAGTCATCCAACATACTTCTCAATGAAAAATATGTAGCAAAAGTTGCGGACTTTGGAACTTCAATGTCAATTGCAGCAGATCGAACTCATCAAACTACCTTAGTGAAAGGGACAATGGGATATTTAGATCCAGAGTACTTTCAATCAAACCAATTTACAGACAAGAGTGATGTTTACAGTTTTGGAGTTGTTCTTATCGAGCTCTTGACTGGACAAAGACCAATATCTTTTGATAGAATAAGAGAGCAAAGAAGTTTAGCAACAAGTTTTTTGTTATGCATGGAAGGAAACAATCTTGAAACAATTCTTGATGCCCAAGTTTCACAGCAAGGCAACNAGTTTTAGAGCAAGGTAAAAGAGAAGAATTGACCGCTGTTGCAAAAGTTGCACAAAGGTGCTTAAATTTGAATGGGAAATACAGGCCAACTATGAAAGAAGTAGCCATGGAGTTGGAGAGTGTTAGAATGTCTCAAACACTCTCGACTACTTCGGAAACTAAACATAAGGGCATACAATTGCACAAGTCCAAATCAATACTGATTTCGGATGATGACTACACATGGACAAATACTAGGGACAATACCATTCCATCATCAGACACTTTTCCCCTAAAGATTCACACAACTTGATGCCATTCAGTGGCTTCTAAACAGTTTCCTGATTTGTAGAAACTATCCGTTTTTGTAATTGTTTGTTTAAGCTGCTAATAAAATTTTCTAGTAATTTCACATATCAAATAGTTCCACATATCCTCTGTAACAATTTGATAATACAATTTGGGCTCTTTTTCTCTCTTCAATAACTTGAGATGTAGCAGAAAGAAGAGTTTTCAACAGTTATTGAAAGAATTAATTTGGCCTAGCATGTCATGCTAAGTTCATGTATCATAATAAAGATGAATTCGACTTGCCAATTATTGATAGCACAATTATGACCCATCGATGTAGTGCTATAAACATTACTCTTGGCTTTTTTACTACTTTCAAACAGCAATAAGAATGCCAAGTTGGTCTTAGAGCTAATATGGGTGATGTTTTGTAATGGAAATTGAGGCCTTCATTTAAGGCCCGAGGCTCTAAATAGTAGAAATTCGCCATTGCCGAAACAGAAGATTACAAGATTTTTCACGCAAAAAGATTCAGTTTTAATTCATATATTATTAACCAAAAATTTAAATAACACTTTTCCTTAAAGGATAGTTTTTACATTTAGCTATTTTTTCCACAAGAAATTCATGGAAGATTTTGATAAAATTGTGGTGAAGAAAATAAAATTATGAAAAATTAAACTCACGAATTTTATCAATGAAAGGTAACATAAAATAATGAGATAACCCTTTATTTATAATGGTTTACATGAAAACCTAGTGTAATAGGACTAAAATTAATGAAAACCTAATTTAAACAAACTAAAATTAAAAAATAATTTGAGATAAACTAAATGACAAAAATGGCACTAAAATTTTGAAAATTAGTTTTCGAGTCCTAAACGAACTCGGATGGCTGAAATCCATCACACATCATAGCGTAGCGAGGAGTATTACTCGTATCATCGTCCTCTTTTCGGAATGCTATTATGAGTCCAAACCGAAATTCGAATGTTCTTTCTACACTATTACTTTCTTCCCATTTTGATCCAATTCTTCAACAACATGTTCTACATCAAAAGATTTCGTAGTGTGAGGACAATTAGCAGGAGACAAGTTTGTTGACATTAAGAAGTGATTGTCTTTTATATCTTTTTCATATTGGTGTTAGCTTGCAATTTTCACGTTGATGATATCAGCTGTGGTTAGTGACAAAGAAATCTTTTATATCTTTCTCATATTGTTGTTAGCCTGCAATTTTCACGTTGATGATATCGGTTGGGGTCAGTGACATAGAAATCAAAATATACTTGAATAATGAAAATTGTGATTGAATTGTATATAGGTGAAATAACAGGTTTTCTATGTTTACTTGCTTATAATGTATCCTACTTTGGCTTCATTTGCCCCAATTTAACATTTTTACATTAACAGGGTTGACTTTGAAAGTGCCATTAAAAATGCTTATTGTTAAAGTTTGACCTAAATTCCATTAGGAATTTGCGAATTTGTTGGATTGGACTTTGAAGAGGTTGAAATATGGACCGAGGAGGAAAAATAGACACATTCCTGCTTGGTTAGATTTTATGAGTGCAAATTGATGTATCTTATCTGAGTTTCAGAATAGAAAAATAACAAGAAAAATGTTAAAAATATATTTTTTAATTTTTTTTTTGTCCAGCTTGATCAAGCAAATAGCAGTGCTTACCTTTCCACTTCCAACGAGATGAAGAAAAGTCATTCAAGTGATGAAGAACCAAATCTACCACATATTGGAACATTTTTAATTCATCCAACGTCAAATGAAGGAAAAGTAAAGAACAAAACACTTCAAATTAATGAATTCCGCTAACAGAAAAATGCGAAAAAAAATAAAGAAAAAAGATATCTTGAGGAAGAAGACAATAGTATAATACACAAAATTATTGCCTTACTTTAGAGAATTCAATCGACTCAATCTCAAAATGAAGTTCGTCATCCTTTGGAAAGCCATCCGCAACTGTGATGGGACAATTTTCCTCAACATAATGCATATTGGGTTTCATCATAAACTGAAATCAGAGATGAAAAGAAAATTATTTTCCAACGTGGAAGAACAAAAAGTTGTTGAGGGAAAAGCTATGGCACTCTGTTGAGGAAAAAGAAAGAAAAAACTAGATTTATGATTGTGGTGTAACAATTAATTGTTTTATTTGATAAACCTATTAAAACTCCATTTATATAATTTTACTTAAAGTTATTTAAGTAAATAGAAAAAATGTTTAAAATTGTGGTATAACTAAAAAAAATTCTTAGCGGTAATATAAGAATGAAAGGGCCAAACTACCTTAACCAAGCTAGTAAAATGACACTACTACCCTTCCAGCAATATAAAAGATGAGAATAAAGACTACAACTAAATACTCTTATTGCCAGTTTGAGCCCATTATTTTGGTAAGAATGTATTTTGAAATGATAGATTGATATAGAATATGTTATTAAATATTCTCTATCTTGGGGCGGACCCACATGGGGTCATGTGGGGTCAAATGACCCCACAATTTGTCTTTTTTTTTTTTTTAAACTTTTTCCCCATTATTATGTATGTAAGATTTAAACCACCTAACTAGAAGAAT